TGCGGACGCTGGCAGATATACCTCGAAGTCTCCGTGCGCAGGTAACTCACTAACGTCTAGACTAGTAAGATGTACCTGGATCTATACAAAAAGATGTGCAGAAGCGTAGTATGAGTACACCACAGCGGTACCCNACCCTACTGGAGAATAAATAATGACATGGAAAAATGTTTAAACAATTTAATAAGATAAAATGACGATGGAAGTGAATCAAGTAGTATGTCACATTTAATTACACCAAATAATGGCAAATAAATACCTCGTGAAAACAAAAAAGAATTTCTTTTCAACTTTAAGAAAAATCACAATAAAAATCAAAGGCAACTACGGCCATAAATCAATATCAACAAGGGCACTACCGAGGTACCGCCTCGTAGTCCCAAATCTTAAATAAATTCACAATATCCCATTTTTCTTATATCACCACGGGAGCCTTCACAATTTATTTAAAGAAAATATTTTTCTCGAAATAGCATCCCGCGTTTTAGCCACTCTTATTACACCGCATGACTTCTAGTAGTTTCTCCTACTAGCCACGCGTATCAAACCACCCTTATCTCACCGCATGCGTTTCAATACTCAGACCTTATACCACCGCATACGTATCAATATCACAATTTGCACCTCAAGTGCTCAAATAATTTAACTTGCCAAAATAAATCATCAATAATATTTTTTCACAATAAAGAGCTCATGACTGCATCACAATGAGTACGAAAATCATACAAAAATATTCAGCAATAAATAATTCAGCAAAATAATATTTAAAAATCTTAATATATTGCTTCAATACCAAATTTTAAGTATCAAATACTTCATATTAATAATATTATTTTAAAGAAAATCAACCTTCAAATAATGCACAGAATAAAAGAAACCAAGTTCTAACTAAACAGGTAAAACAATTAGCAGGAAAAAGTCAAGCAACTTTAAAATATAAACATTAAATCAATGATGAAGAATATATCAGAATAAAATAGTTTAATTAATGCGCAACAGTGATCTACACAATTTAAAAATATAATCTTTCACATTTAGCCCGTGTACACACTCGTCACCTCGTGTACACGACTTTCAACACATTACAATTTATCACTTCAATACCAATCCTAGGAAAAAATTTCCCCCACACAAGGTTAGACAAGTCACTTACCTCGACTTGCTCCAATTTAACCAAGTAGCATGGTTTTTCCTCGATTTTTCGATTCCGGTCAACTCGTATCTAGTCATAATTGATTCGATACAGTCAACAAAAATTATAGAATCAATTCTATAAGAAAATACTACATTTTTCAATAAAAATCCGAAATTAACTCAAAAATGACCCATGGGATCCACGTCTCGAAATCCGGCGAAAGTTACGAAATATGAACGCCCATTCAACCACGAGTCTAACCATACCAAAATGACTAAATTCCAATAACAGTTCGACCCTCAAATCCTCAAATCTATCCAAGAGGGTTTTCGAATTTTTTCAACTTAAATCACCAATTAAATGTTAAAAACAGTGATAAATTCGGGTAATCTAACAAAGATTGAGTTAAGAACACTTACCCCAACGTTTTCTCTGAAAATCTCTCAAAAATCGCCTCAATCCGAGCTCCAATTCGTTAAAAATGGAAAAGTTTTAGAACTTAAATATTCTGCCCAGGCTTTTACTCATCGCGATCGCGTACATCCACACGCGATCGCGAAGCACAAATTACCACTGCCCAAATTAACTCTACGCGATCGCGTATATCCTCACGCGATCGCAGAGCACAGAGTTCCCATCTCTACGCGATCGCAGTCCTCTTCACGCGTTCGCGAGTCACAAGGTCTCAAAGCTACGCGATCGCATCCCGCTTCACGCGATCGCGAAGCACAAAACTTTGCAGCCCTCAATTAACCCTACGCGATCGCAAACAATGCCACGCGATCGCGATGCACAGACTAGCCCAACCTACGCGATCGTAGTTGAACTCACGCGATCGCGAAGAACAAAATTAATACTGCCTCAACTAAGCCTGCGCGATCGCGTCCCAATCTTTGTGATCGCGAAGAAGGTTTAAAATACCAGAAATCAGCAGCTACAAACAGTGCCAAAATGAAGGAAAATACTCTGAATACCATCTGAAACACGCCCGAGCATCTCGGGCCTCAACTAAATATACCAACAAGTCCTAAAACATCATACGGACTTAGTCGAGTTTTCAAATCACATCCAGCAACACTAAAACACGAATCACACATAGATTCAAGCCTAATGAACTTTGAAACATTCAATTTCTACAAACAACATCGGAACCTATCAAATCAAGTCTGATTGACCTCAAATTTTGTACGCAAGTCATAAATGACATAACGGAGCTATGAAAATTTTCAGAAATGGATTTCGACTCCGATATCAAAAAGACAACTCCCGGGTCAAACTTCCAAACTTAAATTCCTATTTTAGCCATTTCAAGCCTAATTTCACTACGGACTTCCAAATAAAATTCTGATCACGCTCCTAAGTCCAAAATCACCATACGAAACTGTTGGAATCATCAAAATTCTATTCCGGGGTCGTTTGCACATAATTCGACATCTGATCACTATTTGAACTTAAATTCTTTTATTTGTTTCATCAAAATTCCATATCTTGGGCTAGGGACCTCGGAATTTGATTCCGGGCATACGCCCAAGTCCCAAATCACGATACGGACCTATCGGAACAATCAAAACACTGATCCGAATCTGTTTGCTTAAAATATTGACCAAAGTCAACTCGGTTGATTTTTAAAGCTCTAATTCACATTTTAATCCATTTTTTTCACATAAAAACTTTCCGGATAATTTTACGGATTGCGCACGCAAGTCGTGTAATGATAAGTAGTGCTTTTCGAGGTCTTAGAATACTGAATTAATTATTAACTTTAAAGATGATATTTTGGGTTATCACAAATTTCTAGATGTATCTCTTAGCAAAGGGCAGCCTTTTTGTTCAAATATTGACAATCCACAGTCTGACTTAACATGATCATCTTCATCATTTTTATCCATCGATTATACCCTTTCTTACTTCCATGTAAATATCTTGAACAAAATGTTAGACTTTCTTCAACAATATACCCTTCTGCAATAGAACCTTCAGGTCGACTTCTATTGCGAACATAACATTTCAGTTTGCGCAAGAATCTGCATAATATAACATTCAGTTAAACGCGTAGCACGAAAAATTAACAAGCCACATAAAATTAAATCGAAATTATAAAATACAAACATACCGCTCTATTGGGTACATTCATCTGTATTGTACAGGTCCAGCAAACGTACCCTCTCTTGGAAGATGAATGAACAAGTGCACCATTATATCAAAAAATGTCGGCGAAAATATTTTTTCTATTTTGCTCATCGTAATTGGAATTTGAGTTGCAAGTTGATCCAACACATCAACTCGTACAGTTTTTGAACATAACTCTCTGAAGAAAATACTTAGCTCAGTAATAGCTTTATAGACATGGTTTGGCAGGATTTCGCGGATTGCAAAAGGAAGCAGTTGTTCCAAAAGAATATGAGAGTCATGACTCTTCAGTCCATAAATTTTACGACCCTCTAACCTTATACACCGTGATAAATTGGAAGAATATCCATTTGGAACCTTAATAGTTTTCAAGAACTTGCATACTTTAGACTTCTCATCTGGTGATAAACTATAGAATGCTGCTGGATAACACCATTTTCCATCTCTTTGAGTTGGATGCAAATCTTTTCTTATACCCATTTCCTTCAAATCACGACGAGCATTCAAATTATCTTTCGTTTTTTCTTCCATATCTAATAACGTCCCAATAATATTGTCACACACATTTTTTTTCAATATGCATGACGTCTAAATTGTGGCGTATTAGATTATTTTTCCAATAAGGAAGTTTGAAAAAGATGCTTTTCTTCCTCCAATTATGAATGCCTTTACTTTTTTCGTATCTTTTTCTCTTTTGGGTCTTACCAAATTTAATGTCTTCCAAGCTATCCAACTGGTTTAAAATATCATCTCCATAGAGAATTTTTGGAGCAGGTCTTCTTTCTACTTCCCCATTAAAATCACGTTTAATTCCCCGCCACTTATGATTAGGCGATAAAAACCTACGAGCATCAATATAAGAGAACTTACGACCATACTTTAATCGAGTAGACGAAGTCTCTTTGTTGCATGAAGGGCAAGCCAAAGCTCCATTTGTGCTCCATCCAGACAAGTAGGCATAAGCTGGAAAATTATTTATAGTCCATAAGAGTGTTGCCCGCATACAGAAGTTCTCCTTTCTCGAAACATCATATGTATCGACTCCATTATACCACAATTCTTGCAACTCATCCACCAAAGGTTCTAAGTACACATCGATATCATTTCCAGGAGCTTTAAGGCCAGGTATCAACAAAGACAAGAAGCAATATGGTTGTTTCATGCACATCCAAGGGGGGTAGGTTATACACAGTAATAATTACTGGCCAAGTGCTATGAGAAACACTTAAATTGCCGAAAGGATTTATCCCATCATATGCTAATCCAAGTCTAACATTACCAGGATCTCTGGCAAAGCCCGGGTTAGATGTATCAAAACGTTTCCATGCATCTGAGTCGGCTGAATGTCTAAGAACCCCATCTTTCAAATATTGATCATGATGCCATGTCATGTCTGAAACTATTTCTGGTGACGTAAACAACCTTTGCAATCTTGGTTTCAAAGGAAAGTAACGTAAAACTTTTCGAGGAATTTTGCTTCCACTTTTTTCTGTAATAGCCCTATTAGCTTTTTGACCTTCTCTTGATTTCCACCTAGACTCGCCATAAACCAAGCAAGATTCAGCTTTTGCATTATGTTTCCAAAACAGCATACAATCGTTTTCGCAAGCATGTATTTTTTTCATAACGAAGATCTAAACTTCGAATCACTTTTTTTGCTCCATAGAATGATTCAGGTAAAGTTTCACTAGAAGGAAGTGCTCGTTTAATTAACTTCATTATGCAGTCAGTTGCTTTTATCACTCAATCCATAAAGGCACTTAATTTGCAACAGCTCCACAATCAGTGACAACTTGGAGAATTTCTCGCAACCAGGATAAAGTTGTTGTGCAGCATCCTCCAGTAATTTGGAAAATTCCGAAGCTGGTTCAGAAGGATCAACCCCACCAGAACAATTCGTGATATCAGGGCCAGTGGCATCATAAATCATTTCAAATATATCATCACCTTGCCCTTTTCTTACTTCCTCTTGTCTTATTTCATTCTTATTAGTGATTTGCTCTTTGGGTGCAAATTCTCCGTGAAAAAGCCAACGAGTTTACCCCTTGACTATCCCAAAAATTATTAAATGTTCCTTTACTTCGTCTCTAGTTTTGTGAAAAACATTGTTGCATTTTTTACAAGGGCAAGGAATTTCACCTTCTGGTTCTGTGTGCTTAAAAGCAAATTGAAGAAAATCCTCAACTCCTTTTAAATATGCATCGCTCAATCTATCGTTATAGCGCATCCAAGTCTTGTCCATTTCAAAATTTCCTATAAAGAAAAATAAAATAAGATCAAGATGCTTAAAAAAGAAAGATCACTTAACCACGGTTATACAATTTAGAGGCTAATTTTGCTACATTCAGAAAGATACAATGCTTAATTTGGAAAATAAATGTAAATGAACTTATCAGTTACTCACTTATATATCTTGAATCAAATAGCAACTTTTACACAAGATAGAGGATAAATCTAAAGCAAATAAATTTTGGAGCACAAGAAAAAAAAGTGTCGAGAGAAAAAAAAAAAAAAAAAAAAAAAAATTCCAAATACATAATTTAAAAGCAATCCATAATCACATTACTAATTCTTTCAGTAAGATGTTTGTGATAATGAAAAGCTGGAAGGTATTATGTACTGGATGAAAGAATCTGTAGCAACTGCTACTAAAATTACCTTAGAATTAATAATTAAAGCAAGAGAAATAAGAAGTGCAGAAAGAATGAGGGAAAAGAGAATGAAAAAAAGAAGCAAAGACAAGATAAGTCAATGTCATGAATTCTTTATATGCAATACCCCCATTAAAAAAATCTGCTTTCATAAGACATCTCTCACAACAATAATCACGACCAGATAGGTATTCATGCTTATTGGCCTTCAAGTTGGATGTGATAGCAAATTATGGCTTCTATTCTCTTAGGTGAGAGTTTTTTAGTTTATAGTACTAAATTTAGCTGGTTCAGATTCAACCAAAAAATAGTTGACAGAAAAGTTTCAGCTTTTGCTTTTTAAATTTATGGATCTTTTATCCTGTAGTGAAGAATTTGTGTGCCGATTGAAGTTTTGAAAATTGGTTTAATGCTCTTTGCCCATTTGTGTTCTTATTCTTATCAAGCCGAACTAATGAAAATGAAGTCGAAGCCAATGACGAGAGCCTTAGAAAGCGTGTCATATAAGTTGTAGATTTAGTGTTGTGGGCTGAGAACAATTCCTTCAAAAGACATGTCTTTTTTTGAACCAAAAGACTACAACAGCTGAATTTAAATGCAAAATGATGCAGCAGACTATACTCTACACCTATAAATAGATACACAAATATACATAACTCCTTTAGTGCCAGAGGTTTTGGCATTCCTATTTGGATAGCAGATCTCAATATCCGAATGGGGAAATTGGACATTTCTCTTTCAGATTTAAGAAACTGTTAAAGGAATTCAACATTGTGATAGCTTATATTTCTATTCCGTGTTGTTAGTAGAAGCTTTATACTATTCACATTTTCATTGGACGGAGGAGTTTTCTAGATGTGCTGCTATTGGAAGAGTTGAATCTGATGCAAATATCATAAAGATTATAGAAAAGTTTTTGAGTTTTCAGTATCATATTCATGGAGGAGAAGAACAAATGGAGAAAGAGAAAAAAAAAAAATTGAATTATCCTATCTTTGAGATTATGAACGTGCTTCAAGAAGCACGGGAATCGCAGTTAACCTTATAATCTGTGATTCTGTATGTTACAATTAGTCTAAGATAGCCAGAGTATTTGCCCATAAATTTTTATCACTTAACTCATACACTCTATTAATCATTGTTAATTAATATACATTACTTGATCTTATTTTAATTCTTTTGAGGACTCCCTCCCACAATACACACAAAGTGATAAAACAAAATCACATTAAACAAGCAGTATATCTTTTCATGCTAGAAGAGGCCATATGTCATAGCAACCCCGATACACAAAATCCCACTTTTTGCTCCAAAACAACAACAATCAGTATTCAACACCAAATCAATATTCACAACAACAATCAGCATTCTAAGCAGCCCAACAGTGAACCTCCGACTAGAAAGAAACAGAAGAAAGAGATTCCGGTTTTAAGCGAATAGGAAGAAAGAAACTTCAGAAAACAGAGAAAAAATAAACTTACTTTGCCGGATGATATCGCCAGTTGCTTCCAGCGGAGATGAAGAATGAGGTTGAGGCTTCATCTTTGAGAGAAATTTGGAAGAGATTAATTTTGAGAGATGAGGGTTTAGGGATCTTTTGGTACGGTGTAATTTTGAGAGATGAGGGACGCTTATGGGGATTGTACGTCCTGCTCTAAGGAATGCACATATATGTCAAAGTTGCATATTATACACTTTGGTCCATAATACTTTATATATGTTAAAGATTAAAAATTTTAGAGGTGTTCATTCTTGGATTCAACTTAATTTTACGGGTTCTTTCTTATAAGTCTCATATTAATTTAAATAAATAAGATGATTATCTCTAATTAATTTTGGTTAACTTTTATATCGAATTTTAAACAAAACTTCATCAAGAATCAATCAAAATCCATTTTGATCAAGTGCTTCGAGAATAGTTATTTTACTCGGACATGTTCTATCAAAATAATACCTTTTGGGGTAATTAGAGGTGTTCATCGTTTAGTTCAATCCAATTTTACAGGATCTTACTTGTAAGTTTCTAATATAATTTAAATAAATAGGGATGATAATCTCTAATTAACATTGATAAACTCTTTTATCGAATTTAAATAAAGCTTTATCAAGTTCGCTCAAGCTTCACCATAATCATGTACTTTGAGAATAGTTATTTTAGGTGAACATGTTCTACCGAAATAATACATTTTAATGTAATTTGTGATGTTCATTGTTCAATTCGATCCAAATTTGCAGGAGCTTACTATCTTAATTACTTGTAAGTTTCACATATAATTAAAATAAATAGGGTGATCGTATGTAATTATTATTGATTAACTATTATATCAATTTAAATAAAACTTCACCAAGTATCGCTCATGTTCCATCATGATCAAGTACTTGGAGATAGTTATTTTACTCAGACGTGTTCTATCGAAACAATACCATTTAGGGTAATAAAAGGTGTTCTTTTGACTTAATTTCACAGTATCTCTAATTGACTTTGATTAACTATTATATCAAGTTTAAATAAAAATTTCACCAAGTATCGCTCAAAATCTATCTTGATCAAGTGCTTTTGAGAATAGTTATTTTACTCGGATCTGTTCTATTGAAACAATACTTTTTAGGGTAATTAGAGGTGTTCATCATTCAGTTCGACCTAATAGTACAAGATCTTACTCGCAAGACAATTTAAATAAGTAGGGCGATCATCTCTGGTTAATATTGATTAACTCCTATATCGAATTTAAATAAAACTTCACCAAGTATCGCTCAAGATTTATCCTAACAAATGCTTCGAGAATAGTTATGTTACTCGGGTCTTTTTTTTAATCAAAACAATACCTTTTAGTGTAATTAGAGGTGTTCATCGTTCTATTCGATCTAATTTCGCCGGAGCTTACTAGATTACCAGTAAGTTTCACATATAATCAAAATAAATAAGTGATCATCTCTAATTAATATTTATTAACTAATGTATCAAATTTAAATAAAACTTCACTAAGTATTACTCAAGCTTTATCCTGATCAAGTGCTTCGAGAATAGTTATTTTAATAAAATATAGTTATATTAATAAGTTACAAACTAAAACAGATAAATATAATTAAATTACTTGTTTAGGAGGAGGGAAACATGAATTTACAATTTGAAAAATAAAATACGATTTTACCAAAAGAAAAAAGTTCCCTCCAAATTATTTCCCTCTAATTTTTTTGTGCCTAAATCACAGTCTTCTTTTCCTATTAGAGAGACTAGTGAGCCAAAACATAAACTAAAAGAAGCAAAAACCCTAAATACTAAAAGTTACAAGAATTGAGGAGCAAGGTACGCCTCTTCCCCTGCATCAAAGGTACGCCACTTTTCCTTTAACATAACTCTTTTGTTTTTGTGGATGAATTACAATATTAAATTACCAAATATGTAATCAAATCTTGCAAGATTCATGTCTTAGAACATATTTGTAACATATAACAAGTTGAACCTACTCCGATTAAATATTATCACCAATCCACCATATCAAAAAGTTAGAAACAGGAAACTACCATGTTCGATATTTAAAAAGGGAGCTTTATTGATCATTCTCTGGTTGAGTAATTTAAATTATTATTTTTTTTGTGAAAGGGAATAGTATTGCTAATATTAGAGAAATATTACATCAGTACTAGTGCCGCCTGTGCAATTGTGCTTAAAGGCAGATGTAAGCCCACCTTTTTCCAGTAGTGTTTCATTATTAACCAACTTCCTTGGTGCAAATATATAGCATATATTTACCAACTTCCGTTTAAACTACAGTGGCTCGACCCTAGATCAAATTAAAAAAATATGGCTTGCTTAAAGTATTTGATTTTTTGCTTGATACAACATAAACTTACCTTCTTTTGGTGGTGGACTGAGGATTATTTTTTGCACTTTGGGACCTAGTGAATAGTTAGCAGCCTTTCTTGTGGGTAATTCGATCCGGTTCTATTACTGGAAATTATTGAAAATATATTGATGTCTTACAAATACTTGTTTATAATCAGACATGGGTAGAAATGGTCTTCGAAAAAGAAATAATCGATTAACTGATGATCATGAGACGAAACCTCCGAAAGTTCCAAGAAGGCATATGTTATAGAAGATTTGCCCACACAACATTTGGAAGAAGTTGTTTATTCGGGTAATTGCAATAAAGCTTTAATAAAATATTGAATTCTTTATTAATTCCTTTTCAATTAAACAATATTTTGTGCTTGTTTAATCACCTAGCTAACTTATATTATGAATTTTCTAGGAAACATGAGTATGACAAGAGAATTGGAATTTAGCTTCCATTATGGTGGCCATTTTATATTTTCTCCTTCCAGAAAATATGTAAGTGGGCAGTTGGTGAAAGCAAACATTGATATTGAGTTCATAGCTTTCTTTGATCTGCTTGATGAAATGAAAAGGCTTTGTAACTTCAATATTCTTGAGGGAGATAAGTTTGTTTATTTGAGAGGTGATAGAGTTATCAGTGATTGTGATGGGTTAGTGGAATGTCGTGACGATTCAGATGTTAAGAATATGCTTCTCAGTTATGAGAAGCATAAGGATAAGTCAATTGATATTTATACACTCCAGAAAAATGATATTTTTATGAGTTCTTTTCTCAGAGAAAATAACTCTAATGAGAACTCGTCTGAACAAGTGAGTGAAACGGTTGTGGAAGAACATGAATCAACAAATTCAACAGGTATTCTTTTTCTTTTATTGATCTTTGTCAATTCTTTCGATATTTTTACTTGAAGTATATTTATGTAATCTTTAAATGTAGGCCCTAACATTGTGAAAAGAAAAATCAGAGGGTCTACACGATGCGTGAAGATAATTAATTTACAGGAAGGACAAAAATTGGTCGTTCAATTTGATGAAGATCACCAAGCTATCGGTGAGAATGCAACCGATTTCACTTGGTTTTTGGGTCAAACAGTGAGAAGCCGAACTTGTTGCCCGTTAAAAGTAAATGGTTGGAAAGAATTAGAGCAAGATAAGATCGACCACATGTGGGACATTATCTTGGTAAGAAAATTAGTAAACTAATAAAGTTTATAATTTTCTTTAATTTTTGATGGATTGACAATCTGAGATACTAAGCAAGTTTGGTTTTAAATCACTAGTTCTAACTTTTATAATGGTAGATTTTATTTTTTATAGGAAAAGTTTAATTTTGATGTCTCCGAGGGAAGAAAAGGGGCAATTCTTGGTCATATGAGTGACCTCTACAGAGACTATAGGCACAAGTTGAAAAATAAGTATTTCGATTCAAAAGCAACTTATCAACTTCGCTTACGGAATAAGCCTAAACTTCTCATTATAGATGAATGAAAATATTTGGTCAACCTTTGGAGTGATGTTGACTTTCAGGTATTTTAATTGATCTATTTGTTCTTTTAAATTATTATATGCTGTAGAAACTAATATTATTAATTATTTTTTAAAACTTTTGTTCCGAAGAAAAGTACGCAAAACAAGGCAAATAGATTGAAGCGTTCTTTGCCTCCATAGTGGGACCAAAAGTTATGCAAGACTTAGATACGAAATGGTATGAACAACATGATATTTTTTTAGAACAAAGTTATAAGAATTATATTCACATATCTTATTCAATTAATGAAAATGATTATTATTTTCACAGGAGAAAAAAAATGGAAAAGCTCCATCTCGTGTTAGAAGTTTTTTTGGAATCTCGCAAGAGAAAAAAAGGAAAACTGTTATGACCCAAAAGGTCATCTTATATTTTAGAACTCGAATCTGCACTCTTAAGTCTTAAAAAATCTCATTTTACTCTCCTCGATTTGCGTGCGCAGTCCGGGCAGGTTTCCGAAAAGTTTTTATGTTGAAAATTGATAAAAATAAGAATTTATGCCTTATAAGTTGATTTTAGTTGACTTCGGTCAATATTTTTGGTAAACGGGCCAGGATCCATATTTTAACGGTCTTGGTAGGTCCGTATCGAATTATGGGACCTGGGCGTATGCCCGGAATCGAATTCGGAGGTCCCTAGCTCAAGTTATGAATTTTTGATGAAAATTAAAAGTCTGAAAAATTAATTATTTTTAAGAATTGATTGATATTTGGCATTGTTAGTATCGGGTCCGTAATCTGGTTTCGGAGCCCGGTACAGGTTCATTATGATATTTAAGACTTGTCTGTGAAATTTGGTGAGAAACTGAGTTGATTTGGCGTGATTCAGACGTCCAGTTGAGAAAATAGAAATTTTAAAGTGTTCTTGAGAATTTTATTTGATTTGGTGCTAAATTTGTAGTTCTAGGTGTTATTTTGGCGATTTAATCACTCGAGCAAGTTCGTATGATATTTTTAGACTAGTGTGCATATTTGGTTTGGAGCCCCGAGGGCTCGGGTGAGTTTCGGATAGGCCACGGGATGTTTTGGACTTTGAAAATCTGGTTTCTTCTGCAGAGTTTGTGTTCTGGCATGTCCTTCTTCGCGTTCGCGAAGGTACTCTCGCGAACACGAAGAGTAAACTGGGCAGCTGGAGTTTTCTTCTTCGTGAACGCGAAGTGATGGGGGACTTACCCTTCGCGAACGCGACTGGCTCAACGCGAATGCGAAGAATGTGGGGACCTGGGGGGGAGGGTTTGGTCA